GGAGTGAGAAGCACAGAGGGCGTCCGGGGCTGTGCGCCACGGACAGACGTAGGCGGGTGGGCGAGCGGCTGGCCTCAGCCCGTTACGCAATTCTAGGTAAGCGCCTTAATTACTCCATGTCCTCTTCCATGGATGAGCCGCAGCCAGTGCTATCCCTTTAACGGGATTGCCAGCCCACTAAGCCTTGCTGCAGACGTCACCAAACCCTCTTAACCTTTGCACTCCTGCCTGGCGGAGTCCTGCCTGTGCTCTGGGTCAGCGGGGCCTGGACGGCACGTTGGGCCGTGGGCCGGCCAGTCACTGAGCAGAGCCACAGGGCCCTGGATGGCACCCGGCGTCGCTGACTGGGTAGGAGGCAGAGCCCATGTGATTACAGGTCCATCCACCACTCACCCTACCGCATGGCGGGGGAGGGAGCCTAGAGACGCAGGGAAAATAGTGGCACCAGGGTGGGCATCTGAACTGGGGCACAAACCAAGCGGCCCAGGGCGGGTCTGTGCATCCTCCACCTCCCCACAGTGTGTTGGGCCCAACACCTGGCAAAGCATGAGGGTGGAGGATGGGCTGGAGGGGCGCTCAGACCAGGGCCGCAATGGGACCTGGGCACATGAGCACTGCGACATGCCTGGGGCAGGTGCTCAACTTCCATCACACCTATGGTTCGTCTCCCAGCCTGCCCTGCCAATGGCCCCCATGCTCAGCCCCGCCGGGAGTGGCCTCACTGGCAGAAAAGGGCTGCAACGGCATGGCTGTCGTCCGCCCCACCAGCCCTAGGTCTTCAGCGGACTTGGCAAGGGGGCCCAGTGGCCTGACCCTGGACCACAGGGAGCAACTCTACCTGGCTCCCAGCACCCAGGATTTATTTGTGTCCCAAAAGCCCCCGGGGACTGACTGAGGGACCTGAGGGCAGATGGTGGCAGGGACCATTTTGCCAGGCCCTTTCCAGCCCAGCCCCAGGGCATGGTGCCCGCACTGCACCGGGCTGGGCCACAGGCCATGTGGCAGCAGTGGGAGGTGGCCAGAGCGGGGACACAGTGTCCACGAAGCAGCAGAGCGCTAATAGCAACCCCCAGCCCTGCGGCAAAGCAGGACATGGCCTCCCTCCCTGCTCCATGGCACAGGTCATGTGTAGCTCCCCAGCCCCCGTGGGCTCACAGCGTTCTAGGAGGCTTATGGGTGAAAAGGGATTTTTTTCTATAGCTGCATGCACCCGTTCCGGAGGCCCCAGCCATTGCAAAGCTGGCCCATCAGCCCAGCGCCAGCCCAGCGCCAGCCCACACGCCTCCCACCCCCCCCGGCGTGCCAAGTAATTGTGGGCAGCTTCAGCAGGTCAGATTCTCCGGGCCCTACACAGCACCTGCTGCTCCAACTGCCCACATGCCCCACCTGCACTTCTGGTGCCCCCCACCCCAGTCCTGACTGCTTGGGCCCTTAGCCCCATGGAGCAGGGCAAAGGGCCTGCACTGGGATCCACGGTGCTCTGCCTTGTGGGGAAAGGTGCAGAGGAAGAGAGACCTGCAGGCAGGGCCTGGCCCTGGTGGTACACTTCATGCTAGGTGCAGGGACATAATGGACTCGGAGCGAACACTGGGAAACGCCACAGTTCACAGCTGCACAATTACCACATGTGGCCCCTTGCATGAGCTGGAGGGCCGGTCACACCGCTCAGCCAGCGTTTCGCTGCAGGCGTTTACACGGGCCTCGGGTACACTTAGGTCGCGGTTAGTGACGGTTTTTTCTTTACAGACTGGCTAGACCTGATGTTTTGTTTGGTTTTTCTAAATTAAAGCTGAGATTCTGATGCAAATGCCATGATCAGACCAGCTGGGTCAGGTCAGAGCCTTTACTGGCCCAACGCCTGCTGGTGACAGGGCCTAGCCTCCGAGGGACACAGCTCGTGCTCAGGTCGGGAAGCCGTGGCACATGAAAGCTTGGCAATGTCCCCAGCAGAAGCTGGGCCAGTAAAGGCTGTTACCTCCCCCACCCACCCAGCCCTAGGCTGTCCGGGACTCCAGGGCTCCAGCACCAGCACCCCCATGCTTGCGGCATGGCAGAACTCGCAGGGGTACACAGACCAGCGCATGTAGCTCTCATACCTCTAGCACCATGGTGCTGACCTCCCGTGGTCCCAGCCCCAATGACACTGGCCCCCCGGGCCCCAACTGCTGCCTTGGTTTCTGTGAGCTGAAAGCCCTCCCAGCGTTACGCAGGGACATGGGCCCCTGGAGCAATTTAATGCTTTAGAAATGAAATGCCAAGCTAAGGGATCTGGGCAGCTATTAGGGCAAGAATGCCATGTGTTTGCCAAACTATGCTCAATAAACCCTTGAACCTGGGCCAGACCAGCTGCTTCCAGTCCTACAATTTCAGCTGGGCTTCCAGTCTAAATCTCTGCAAAATTACCAGCGGGTAGGGGTTGGAGGGATGAGTAGCCGAACCTCTCACCTGCTTCAGTGGGAGGCCCAGCTGTGCAGCAGGCTCATTGCAGTCAGATACCCAATTCCCGTCACAGATAGCTGTTAAAAAGAAGCTGGTCCAACCCAGAGGTGGCTGCATTTTGTGGTGCAGGGAGCACTTCCTGTGTACAAGCGTGCGGTTTTTGAGAGGCCTTGCTACCGCAGTCGCCACCAAGCGAGCTAGCTTTAGGCAAGCTATGCTCTATTGTCTCCTTGACTAAGGTAAGAGAAGGGCATGACTTGTCCCAACTGACAGACCTAAGATCTCCTGCCTCCCAGCTCTGTGCCTGTCTGTCAGCCCGTCCCTGGGGATTGCTGGCTGGAGGGGCCACCAGCATTTATCTGCAGGGAGATAGCTTGCATAATCTGCAAACACACCTTTGTATGTCCCCCAACCCCTTCCCCCCTTCACCTGAAAACCCCTCTAACAGGCCATTTGCAGCACTTGCCACAAGTTCCTCTCCTCCCACTCCATCCTGGAGCCCCTCACCCTGGCCTCTAGCCTCTCCACTCTGTGGAAAGAACTCTCCCTGAGGCTACTGATAGCTCTAGTCCAGCCTCTTGCTCCTTGCCCTCTGTGGCAGGGGAGAGACTCGCTCATACCCCCCCCCCCCCCCCCGCGCGACATTGCCCTCCCTGGCTCCTGTCACTCTCGGTTCTCCTTGCTCTGCAAACTCTTCCCCCCCCCCCGCCCCGCCCCACCCCCAGTTGCAGGCTCCTCATCTGCTCTCCTGCGGGGTCCTCTTCTCGCTGCAGCCTCTTCCCCCATCCAGTCCTACATCCCAACTTGGCCCCATGTCCCCTCCTGCCTGCCTCACCATCAGCATGGCCCAAGCCCATCTGCAGGTCTCTCCTACTCCCCATCCCACTCTGTCATTGCCAGAGCCCTCATCTGCCTTGTGCTCAGGCCCATATCAGGTGGGCGGCGTGCAGCACCCTCCCTTACCCCATGCGACAGTCAAATCCAGCTCCTTTTGCCACAAGGGTCCAGTGTGCAGCTTCCAGATGGCAAATACTCCAGCCTGTGTTACTGCAGCCTCCCCACCAGCCCCAGAGCCTGTGCTTGGTACAAGGCACGGCAGTCACCTCCCTGCCCCATTGATCTGATCACTTCACCCCCATCCCTGGCTCCCTGCTCACACCTCATTATGCTCAGCTCCACAGCCCTATGTACGCCCCCAGCCCCTGTTCTGCCAGCACTACCAGCCCTTCCCCATTTCAGCTGCTTCATTCTGCCCACAGTGACCCGGGCGTCTCCGTCCAGGCCCCCCCAGTCCATGGACCCTCCTCCCTAGTCATGCTCGGCCACTCCCCTCTGCTCCTGAGAGCCCTCCTGGAGCCCCTCGGCTCCTCCAGCCACCAGAGACAATGTGGATATGTTCCCCCCCTCCCCTTACTGATAGTGATGGAGTGAAAGGAAGGGGAAGCACAGGACCCCATGGTGCTAAAAGCAGAGGGGAGCTGTCCCTGGCTCGGCTACACTGTGCCCCCTCCATGAGGGCAGAGGTTTAGCACTGGGCAGGTTCTGGGGCAGCTTTCAGACTTCTCAGATCCCCCAGCCCTGCTTTCTGCTTCTCTTGCTCCAGCCACATTCCCAGCCAACACCCCTTCCACGCCCCAAGCCAAGGACACAGAACTAACACCTCAGCACATGGAGCTGTAGCAGATGGGTCAATTCGAGCTGTACGCAGGGCCCTCCAGGCTTGGACAGGGGAGTGAGATCAAAACCTGTCCATGTTCCAAACCTGCTGTAAGACAACTTCCCTTTAGGCATCTCTGTCCCCACTCAGATCCAGCCCTGCTCTGCCTCTGCCCGGAAGGGCCGGCCACGGCCTCCTCAGGGAGCAGCTGAAGCCCTTGAGAATCCGGCTGTTCTTCTGGACTCACATGGCCCAGCCCTTCTCTTCCACACAGGCCCCCTTCCGGCTAGGCAGAAGGGTGCTCAAACGGAAGTTACAAGAGCAGCACGTTCTGCACCCATTCCCCCCGTCGCCTCCTGTTTCACACCTCTGCATAACCAGGACTGACTGAGAGCGGAGTTTCAGCTGGGGTCTGCAGGTCAAGGGCTCTCAGGCTCCTTTGCTGTTGCCTGAGAGCCTGCCATGCTTGTCCTAGGCAGGTGGGCAACGGCCCTTGGAAATGAGTGGTGCCTCCGGAATCCGCCAGGCACATTCTGCTCGTGCCGTGCTGGACGTGGGGCCAGGCATATTTTCTTAGGAGCAGCCCGGCTCTGCCGCCGTGCAGGGGTGATTAGCTTGGTCACACGACCCCTTTGGAACGTGGGGATCCTGCCAGGAACGTCCAGCTGAGGCAAGGTCCCTGCCCGCCTCGCAAGCACAAAGCCATGCGGCTCCTGGTTTCAGCCTTGCCTATGGTCACCTGCAGGAGGCGCACTGCTGGCAGGTCTGGTTGTGAGCATGGGGCAACAGCCAGGGGATGGGGGGCAGGTTTTGCTACAAACAGCAAATGTCACCCAAGCTCTGTGGGAGTGCGGTGGACAGGGGAGAGCGGGGATGGGCAGAAAGAAAAAGCAACCCTCGCATATTTGTGATTGTCTCTTAAAAAGATTTATTCTCTCTCCTTGCCTGACTGGCCCCGGGCAGGGAGAGCGCAGGTTGTGTATATATATATTTATATATATATATATAAAAAACAAGGAGCTTGGTAATAATGTACACTTTACAGAAGGGCAGAATCAGGAAGACTGAAATTAAACCCAACACAGCAACTCCAACGGAAACAAGAGCTAGAACATCAGCGCTTCAACGCCCCGCTGGGACCCTGCTCACAGTGCTCCGGCGCGGGGGGGTAACTCCGAACAGACACTGCTACAAGGGACAGGACTGCAGCGTGCTACCCAGCCGACCACCCCCCTCCTGCGGCAGCAGGAGCCCACCAGGAACATTGAAACTGTCAAACCTCAAACTACGGGTTACACGGCAGCTTTAATTACCACCTATGGGCAGGCGGAAGCCAAGTGGCACTTCCGAAAGGGGGGCTGGGAAACCCTTTGCCCACAATGGGTGGCAGCAGCTGGGCACAGGGCGCTGAATTGTCCCCGCAGCTCAAACCCTCCCATTTTCAACATGCCAGAGCCCTCTCTGCCAGCCCCCTGCCAGCCCCACCGCCGAGCAGCTGGGCCAGGGGCTGGCACTGCCCAGCCCCAGGAGTTCCTTGGCCCGGCAAGGCTGCCTGATGGTCTCCCAGCTGCCAGAGCCAGGTGCCAGGCAGCTGGGGAGCAGGCTGGCGATGCCACCCCAAGGTACCAGGAAGAGACCAACCCCCAGCCCCACCATAAGGAACCTGAAGCCATCTGACCCCCTCGTTGGTACCAACACACACAAATAGGTCCCCGCCCCCCGCTGGGAATTGGGCTCCATGGGGCCCAGGTGGCTCTGCGTGTCACTTCATGCCAGCAGCTTGGGAGACCCTTGCCCAGCCACAGGCAGAGCGAAAGGCTAGGCCCAAGACTCCCCGAGGGATGGGGCTCTGCCTCCTAAGTCCCCCAGGCAGGCAGTTCCCACCCTCGAAGCCAATCCGAACCTCCCTACCCTACCAGGCCCTAGGAAACCCACCTAGGCCCCATGCCATTACACCAGACAGGTGACCAGAGGGCAGCTGCTCTGGGTGGTGGCAGGTGGATTCTCTGCTCTGGCCGCAGCTGAGCTGCGTGTGTCCTGGAGGTGCTGGGGGGCACTGCAGCATTTCCCAGCCTCCTACTCCTGAGAACCCTGGGAAAGACCGCCCCACCCTCGGCCCTTTGGCTGAGCCCTGCGGGAGATGAGGGAGGCTGGGCTGGCCCCTCCCATGCAGCAGACAGAGCCTGGCTGTAAGCGGAGCAAGCACCCGGGTTCCTTTGACAGACAAAAGGAAAAGGTTAAAAGAATCAGTCCAATGAAGGGCGGCTGCGGGAGGGGGCAGGGCTGCGCGGACACACTGCCTTCATTGGACACCAGGGCCGACACACTCAACAGTGGCTCCTCTTTGATTGCACACGGGGGGAGGGGGGGGCTCCTCCCACAGGGAAAGAAACAAAAACCAAAACAACAGCTTTCAAACAATTCCTTTTTACAGTATGTACAGCGCCCGCGGGCGGCGCACAGCCCGGGACAACGCGACACACAGCTCGCCAGACACTGCACAGCGCAGAGCCAGAACGCCCAGCGGCTCTGGGCCAGGCTGGGGGTGAGCCAACAGCGGGGAGCGAGCCAGCCCCTGCTCTGCTGGGGGACCTCCCATGCCTCGAGGGGTGGAATAGGCCGGCTGGGATCAGCTTCGAGTGGCTGCTAACTCCTGGAGATCAGCCCCTCGCGGCAGCACCTGGGCTGTGCAGCAGCACCATGCTGCCCGTAGGCCAGGGAGCGGTCCTTACAGCACATCAGCAAGGCCAGCTGAGGGGGGAGGGCAAGGACCAGTTCGGCTAATGGAGCCTGGCAAAGCATGAACAGTCCTACAGCTACTGCCTACGTCCATGGGGTGGGGGGTTCACAGCACACACACCCCGGCTCCCTCCCGCCCAGAGGCCGGGGGACGCGCCCAGAGGCCGGGGGACGCGCCCAGCCGCGTCAGACCCACTGCTCCATGCTCTCACCTCCCACGCCCCTCACAGCTCAGAAATCCAAAATTAAAAACCCACCAAATGAACTGGAGTTTGGCGCGCCCAAGGCAGAGGCCCCTGCAGCAGCCGGGCAGAGATGCAGGTGCCACCACCGGCTGCTTCCCTAGCCCAGAGCAGACCTGCCCCCCATCTGCACAGACTGGCCAGCCTCCGGAGGAGACAACTCCATCCAGCGTTGGAAGAGCTTCCCGTCCCCCCAGCCCCAGGTGCGGTGCCGAGAGCAGGCCTAGCACGCCCCCGCCAGTGCTCGCACGCGTGCACTGACGACTATGCAAACGTGGGGGGCCCTAGGTCTGTGCAGGGGGGAACGGCCACGCAGCCGGTCAACCCTGCAGGTGGAGCGGGGGGGGCAGAACGCTCACAGGACTCAGAGGGAGAGCCCACCCAAGGGCCTTGTTTGTGACAAACTGGGGTTAGCCTGAGCCATGGCAACCCATGCCCCCTGCCAGCAGGGAAGGCGGGGCGGGGGGATGGCAGCTGCCAGTGCAGCGGGTCTGAGGAAGATGAGTGGAAAGGAGGCAGAAGAGACAGGGCTGGCAGGGGCACTGGGAGCCTGAGGGGAAAACCCCTAGCAGCAGAGCACCCGGAGGGGGCAGAACAGATTCTTAGCCGGTGACTCCTGTTCACCCCACAGCTAGACTAGTCTGGGCACCCAGCACCTCTCTGCGTTGCCTGAACACTGACAAACCTGCTTAATACAGGGCATGGCACTCTGGGCACCGGCCGAGTACACAGCTGAAGTGTGAACCCGCCACCCGCTGCACTGATAAGCCCCCTCCTCCCCTGTGCTGCACTGACGCCCCCCCAGGCTGCACTGACGCACGCTCACCCCCCGCTGCACTGACATGTGCTCTCTTCCCCATGCTGCAGATGCTACTTGTCCCCCACTGTGCACCGAGTCCACCCCCACACTGCACTGACATGTCCATGGGCGCGCGCGCTTGCTCGCTCACCAGAGACACGCACCCATCCCGCTGCACTGAACCATCCACCCACGCTCCTCGCTGGTACCTGATCAGCACTACTACAAATGAAAAGAGACCTAAACTTTCTTCCCTGGGACTGCGACTCTGGGTCCAGGCAACTCGACTCTAGCGATCTGGGCTGCACTCCCATGGAGCCAAGTGCAGCTGGCGGGAGGGCTGCGTGCTGAGCAGGCCCGGCTGGTGCTCCCTCCCCACCCCGTGTCCTGTGCTGCTCAGACCCTGGCGAAGCAGTGACCTCCAAAGGGACACTGAATCAAATCCACCGGAAACCCTCGGTGCTTCCATTGCCTCTTCATATGCACCAGGCAGGCAGGTCGCTTCCCTTCCCAGGGACGGTGGGCAGTAGAATAAATATTCCTGTAGGTTCCAGCTCCCCGGCTCACAAGGAAAGGGGCGTGGAGGGGGCGGGGACCCGCGTGTCCCATCGGGAAGAGGAAAGTCTGCCTCAGATTAGGGCAGGAACGTCAAACAGAACAATTAACACCATTCAACTGATGTCTAATGGAATTTCCAGCGCTTCCTCATGTGAGCCAGTCACATGACTTGGTACAGACCCCTTTATCCAATCACAGCGCGTCCTGCCAGAAAAATCAAAGCAGAAATCACTCCGGTGCCCATGCTGCTACATCCACCAAGGGGCGCCCCAGCCACAGGAACCAGGACACGGTTCTTCCTCCTTCCCTTCTCCTGTGGCAGCTGCAGTGTCCCAGGACCCAGAGGGGTGGGCAAAGCAAACAGCCGCTGCTCACACAGGCCCTGTAACGGTGTTTACTTAGCAGTCAGAACGGCTGTCCAGGGAACTCTCAGGCGGGGCTAGCAGGGGCCGCGGGTCGGGAGTGAGGGGCACCGGCAGAGCAAAGGACCTAGGACAGCCCCTGCCCACACTTTGCCTGGTTCTACCCCCTGCCCCGCCCCTCTGATTTGGAGGCTCCACTGCGATGTTATGTTTGTCCAGAGGCTGGAGGCTCAACCCCCCCTCCCATGCCCTGGGCCTTTCTCTCCCCACACCCCCTTTGCGGGCGTGGCGCAGCAGCCTTACCATTCTCACCTCCTGGGAGGCGGGTACAAGGAGGGAGCGGAGCCCTGCTGGCTGGCCACGATGGCTGTCGAAGAGAGACCTGCAGCGAGAAGCAGAGCCAGAAGGTGACCTGGTGCCTACAGCGGTGCCATGGGAAGGTGGCAGCTCTGTGACGGTGCCAGGGGGGGAGCTGGCAGCTCAGCCACCCTCCCGTCATCGCCACTTGCTCTGAACTGTGCTTGAGGATGGGGACGGCTCTGGGGCGGAGCAGAGAGCAGCCCCCTGCCTGCTTCAGCCCTGGGCTGGCAGGGCCCCGCACTAAGAGCTATTCACCACGTGCATCCAGGGGAGGTCTGTGCTACTGCATTCCCCAGCTCAATTTCAGCCCCATGCGCTGCTTCACGGAGATCAACCAGGCGGGGGCGCTCTCCCACTGCTTCTATCTGCATACCCCACTGCCCTAGCTGCAGCCCCACTCAGGCATGCCCACTAACACCCACTGCCCCACCCCGGTATTCCCAGCTTTCCATCCTCCCTCCAGCCCATCTCGTCTCCGGGCTCCACACCCCGGGGCAGAAATGCCGGCTTGCCTCCCCATCCCGCTGGGAGCCGCGCCGCAACTCCAGTCCAGCAGGGGCTGCCCATGCCACCGCACGAGACGGACAGGCTGCTCTCACCTGTTGCATAGGGCAGGTTGTACTGGGCTGGCAGCAGAGAGTACCCCAGGTGGTGGTGGTGGTGGTGTGTTGACATCAGGCGTTGGGAAGGGGAGGTCCGGGGCCGATCTACGCTCCTCTCTCCGCCTGCTGCTCCCCCAACGCTGCTGCAGCCTCCACCCCCAGCTACCACCCCGCAGCCGCCACGCTCCCTCTCTTGAGACGCCTTCTCGCTGATCTGGAGAGGAGAGCACAGACCCCGGTGAGGAGGGCAGGGGAACCCAGACCGGGGAAGCCGGCAGCGGCAGGACTCCCGGCCAGTGAGATCAGAAGGGCCGGCACAGCGGACAGGGCACCCTGGGGGAGACGATTCCAACCAGCCATGCTGGAGCAGCCAATGCTGAGTCCAGGGCCAAAAGCACGGCCAAGCCGGCAGCCAAACCCCTCTAGAGGGCTCTCCCTGACAATGTGGCCAGGCTCAGCCAGCTCACTCAACCCGGGGCACGGCCTGGCCCAAGCCGCGTCAGGGAGACCCCCACACAAGGACTCATTTGGGGCACTTCTCTCAAAGATCCCGCTGCGCTGCCAGGGGGCACTGGGGGCTGCCAGTCCACTGGGCACTTGTCTCAGCAGAGCCCAGTGTTTTGGCCCAACAGAGACAATTCTACTCTTCCCCAAAAGAGCCCCCTACTCAAGCACAGTATTCTCCACTTCCTGTCCGACAGGTTCATGCCACGGGCTGTGCAGTGAGGTGGGTGGCTCCCCCCAGTGGCAGGGGAAGGGGTTGCAGGTGGGCCATATAGCACCATGGCAAAGGCACATTTGGCAGGTTGCACTAATGCAGCTCCCACCTGCCCTCCATTCACCGGTTGGCTTGTAGGCCCCAGCAAGCCCGTCCCTAGGAGGTAAATGACTCCAACCCGCAGCCCCTATGGGACAAGTCGCGGGAGAAGCCTCTGGCCTGCGCTGCACCAAAGGAACGTCTCCCCGTGTCTTCCAGGAGGAATCCACAAACCTGGGCATTCCCAGGGACTCCCAGCCCCAAGCCAGGCCCAGCCTCCTCCAGGGCCAGAGGGGAAGCCATGCCTGGTGGTTAGTGCACGGCACAAAGTAGCCCCGTCACTGACTCACTAGGTGACCTGGGCCTTGGTTTCCGCCCTGCAGGCTGGGGTTACGGCCCAGGGTGCCAGAGGCCAGCACATGCAGCGCTGGGGTCCCAGGCTTTCCAGGGGTCCCCCGTGGCGTGTCTGGGACAGGCTGTGCCAGAGTAACTCCCCATAAGCACCCCCCACAGCTGGGCCAGGAGGAAGCACTGAATGGGGGTCTCACTCTCAGGGCAGCTGCAGGCAGAAGCGCTTGGACCCCTGTTCCCATCAGGCCCCCAGCCCAGGGAAGCCCCGTCCCACCCTCACCGTGGGAGACTTGCTCTTGTAGTGGCTGGCATGCTGCTGCAGGATGTCCAGGGCCTTGGACTCTGAGCTGGGTTTGCAGCTCACGCTGGGGCTGGCTCGCGCCTTGTCACCGTCCTCACTCCCAGAGGCCTTGCTGCCATATGGGGAGAAGGAATAGCTGGAGGGCAGGTAGGATCCTGTGGGGGAGAGGCCAGTCAGAGCCTGGGGGAGGGAACGCCAGCACCAGCCCCCCCACAGGCCTCCCACCCCCAGGCTGTCTGCTGGGCAGGGCGCTCCTGCCATCTGAGCTCAGGCTGACAGCAGCACGCGGCACTGCGCCAAGGCAGAGAATCAGGCACACGGGCTCAGCAGAGACACTCCCCCAGGCCACCTGTAACTAGGACCATGAGCCAGCATGGCCCTCCTGCGCCCAGGGATGTCTGCCCACCCAGCTAGCGGGCCGGCTGACAGCTGGAGCACCAGCCTGCAGCCCCTGCCCTGCAGCACATGCGGTGCTACCGAGGGCTGCTGCACCATCACTCTGCCACCCTGCTACTGGGGCTGGGCCAAGGGCTCCCTGGAGAAGGGCCGAAGCCCGTCCTGCGCCAGCATTCACTTCTGCAGCCATTCCAGCCAGATGCAATCCGCCTCTTCCCGCCCTGCCCTGAGCTGCCGGTCTGTTCCTGCGCACGGGGAGCAGCAGCTGTCGGGAGCCCTGCCAAGCTCAGCCGTTGGGGACCTCCCAGAGGCACCAGTCTGAGGCTGTGGTGGCTGGTTTATTGTGGTGGGACTGCACTACAAGCACCACTCAGCTCGCTGCACCCAGCCCCTCAGTGGTTGACTCAGGCCCCGAGACACACGCCCAGGGCAGGGGAGGAGACGCAAGCCTCCCCCATGGGGCGAGCTCTCCCCGGCCTGCTGCCTAATCTACTCTTCTGGCTGGGCCTGGGGCCAGCCGGTAGCCCCCAGCACAGCGGCTGCGCCCATACCTGGGTAGTTCTGCATCATGACGGTTGGCATGCCCCGGTAGCTGGGGTGGTTGGGGTCGTACGACTGGCTGTAGGAGTAGCCGTGCATGTAGGGGATGTAGGACTGATGCTGGGTGAGGGGCGAAGACACGGGGACGTGGACGCTGGGTCTGGGGTCTTTCCCCACCATGCGGGACTCCTCGGAGGACGTCAGTTTGCATTCAGAGCTTGTGCTCTCCTTCCCATCCTCCTTAGGGCCGGCCTCTTTGCTTCGGCTCCTTTCTTCCTTCAACTTCCTGTCCCTCTCCTCTTTCCACCTCTCGTCCTCGCTCTTGAGCTCCGAGTACTTGGCAGGATAAACATAGGTCCACATCCTGGGCTCCGCTTCCTGCGTCAACCAAAGAGCTCGTCAGAGTCACTGCATCCCAGCGCTGCACAGTGCGGCCGTGGCCTCGGCATTCGCCACCATGCTGCTCCCCTGGGTGAGCCAGACGGCAACGGGCACCGCAGGCTGCGGGCCAGACGGTGACTAGGGAAGGTGGCTGTGGCCTCTCCGAGCCAGCGTCTCCCCCCACTCCCAGCAAAGCGCTTTGCCACTCACACTACCATCAGCAAAATGACAGGCCTGGCACCAAGGGCACCCACAGCTCCCTCTCACTTCAAGAGCCACTGACCCACCACGGAGGGTGGGCATCCAATGCTCTCCCCCCACAACATGTCCGGTGCCTGCTGGCCTGAAAAGTGATAGGAGCCTTAAAGGGCAAGGGAGCAGAAGGTGAGGCAGAAGAGGGGAGCGGAGAGTGGGCGTGGAAGGAGAATGCCCCACCAGCCTTGTCCGTCTCCCCCAGAGGGCAGATGACTCTGACGGCTTCTCTCCAGTCCCATGTCCCAATTCCGACCTCACCAGCCCTTTGGGGCTCAGGTGGCCAGCGTAGCATGCAGCCCCGCAGGGGACCCGGCCGTTCCTGCCCTGGCACTAGTCTGTTGGCACCCGTGGCCCCCAGCCCATCCTCAGGGACCGCACAGGTTTGCTTTGCTGACCCAGCTAGCAGTTCCCATGGTCCTTGGCCAGCTGCTTTTCCGATGTAAATCCAGCTGGGACCAAGCTTGTGGCAACAATTCAAATCAGAGGGGAGTGAACATAAGAACAGCCATACAGGGTCAGACGAAAGTCCATCTAGCCCAGTATCCTGTCTTCTGTCAGTGGCCAATGCCAGGTGCCCCAGAAGGAGTGAACAGAACAGGTAATCATCCAGTGATCCATCCCATCGCCAATTCCCAGCTTCTGGCAAACAGAGGCTAGGGACACCATCCCTGCCCATCCTGGCTAATAGCCATTGATGGTCCTATCCTCTGTAAACTTATCTAGTTCTTTTTTGAGAACTGTTACAGTCTTGGCCTTTACAACATCCTCTGGCAAAGAGTTCCACAGGTTGACTGTGTGTTGTGTGAAGAAATATTTCCTTTAGTTTGTTTTAAACCTGCTGCCCATTAATTTCATTTGGTGACCCCTAGTTCTTGTGTTATGAGGAGGAGTAAATAACACTTCCTTATTTACTTTCTCCACACCAGTCATGCTATTATAAACCTATATTATATTCCCCTTTAGTCATCTCTTTTCCAAGCTGAAGAGTTCCAGTCTTGTTAATCTCTCCTCATATGGAAGCTGTTCTATGCCCCTAATCATTTTTGTTGCCCCTTTCTGAACCTTTTCCAATTTCAATATATCTTTTTTGAGATGGGGTGACCACATCTGCATGCAATATTCAAGGTGTGGGTGTACCATGGATTTATATAGAAGCCATATGATATTTTCTGTCTTATTATCTACCCCTTTTTCCTAATGATTTGCAACATTCTGTTTGCTTTTTTGACTGCCGCTGCATATTGAATGGATGTTTTCAGAGAACTATCCACAATGACTCCAAGATCTCTTTCTTGAGTGGTAACAGCTAATTTAGACCCCATCATTTTACATGTAGAATTGGGGTTATGTTTTCCAATGTGCATTACTTTGCATTTATCAGCATTGAATTTCATGTGCCACTTTCTTGCCCAGTACCCAGTTTTGTGAGATCCCTTTGTAACTCTTTGCAACCCGTTTTGGACTTAACTATCTTGAGTAGTTTTGTACCATCTCCAAATTTTGCCACCTCACTATTTACCCCTTTTTCCAGATCATTTATGAATATGTTGACAGCCCTTGCCCCAATACAGAGCCCTGTGGGACACCCCTATTTAACTCTCTCCATTGTGAAAACTAACCAGGTATTCCTACCCTTCATTTCCTGTCTTTTAACCAGCTACTGATCGGTGAGAGGACCTTCCCTCTTATCCCATGACAGCTTATTTTGCTTAAGAGCCTTTGGTGAGGGACCTTGTCAAAAGCTTCTGAAAATATAAGTACACTATTTCTACTGGATCACCCTTGTCCACATGCTTGTTGACCCCCTCAAAGAATTTTAGTAGATTGGTGAGGTATGATTTCCCCTTACAAAAACCACGTTGTTCTTTACTGTAGTTTCAATCTATTTGCCCAGTACTGAAGTTAGGCTTACTGGCCTGTAACTGCCAGGGTCACCTCTGGAGCCCTTTTTTAAAAATTACTGTCACATTAGCTATCCTCCAATCATCTGGTACAGATACTGATTTAAGTGATAGGTTATATACCAAAGTGAGCAGTTCGGTAATTTCACATTTGAGTTCCTTTAGAACTCTTGGGTGAATACCATCTGGTCCTGGTGACTTATCTCTGTTTAATTTATCAATTTGTTCCAAAACCTCCTCTATTGGCACTTCAATCTGGGACAGTTCCTCAGTTTTGTTACCTAAAAATAAAGGCTCAGGTGTGGTAATCTCCTTCACATCCTCAGCTGTGAAGATCAATGCAAAGAGAATTCATTTAGTTTCTCTGCAATGCCCTTATTGTCCTTGAGTGCTCCTTTAGATCTTGATCGTCCAGTGGCCCCACTGGTTGTTTAGCAGGCTTCTTGCTTCTGATATACTTAAAAACATTTTTGCTGTTACTTTTTGAGTCTTTGGCTAGCTGTTCTTCAAATTCTTTTTGGCCTTCCTAATTATATTTTTACACTTCATTTGCCAGAGTTTATGCTCCTTTCTATTTTCCTCACTAGGATTTACTTTCCACTTTTTAAAGGATGCCTTTTTGCCTCTCACTGCTTCTTTTACTTTGTAGCTTAGCCACAATGGCACTTTTTTGGTTCTTTTACTATGCTTTTTAATTTGGGGTATACATTTAAGTTGAGCCTCTATTATGGGGTCTTTAAAAAGTTTCCATGCAGCTTGCAAGGATTTCACATTTGGCACTGTACCTTTTAATTTCTGTTTCACTAACTTCCTTATTTTTGTGTAGTTCCCCTTTCTGAATTAAATGCTACAGTGCTGGGCCACTGTGGTGTTTTCCCCGCCACAGGGATGTTAAATTTAATTATTTTATGGTCACTATTACCAAGCTGTCCAGCTATATTCACCTCTTGGACCGGATCCTGTGCTTCACTTATGACTAAATCAAGAACTGCCTCTCCTCTTGTGGGTTCAAGGACTAGCTGCTCCAAGAAGCAGTCATTTAAGGTGTCAAGAAATTTTATCTCTGCATCCCGTCCTGAGGTGACATGTACCCAGTCAATATGAGGATAGTTGAAATCCCCCATGATTATTGAGTTTTTTGATTTTATAGCCTCTCTAATCTCCCTGAGCATTTCATAGTCACTATCACCACCCTGGTCAGGTGGTCGGTAACATATCCCTTCTGCTATATTCTTATTATTCAAGCATGAAATTACTATCCATAGAGATTCTATGGTACAGTTTGGTTCATTTCAGATTTTTACTTCATTTGACTCTGCGTTTTCTTTCATATATAGTGCCACTCCCCCACCAGCACGACCTGTTCTGTCCTTCCAATATATCTTGTACCCTGGTGTTACTGTGTCCCATTGATTATCCTCAATCCACCAAGTTTATGCGATGCCTATTATATCAATATCCCCATTTAATATGAGGCACTCTAGTTCACCCATCTTATAGTTTAGACTTCTAGCAGCTGTATATAAGCACATTTGTATATAAGCACACCTTACTTTTTAGCTGCCTGCCATTACATGATGTAATTGAATGGGACTTTCATTTGACTGGTTCTCATCAGATCCTACCCTTTCCAGCAGGGGAGGCAAGTGGCAGAGGAGGTTCAACCCCACCAAACAGCCTGAAAGCCAGGGAGAGGGGAGATATGGCCCCCATGGCCTGGCAGGGGAGGGGCCCCAGTCAGGCAGCTGCCCCCCACTGCATTGTGATGAGCTCCCTTCCTTCCTCGCCTGAGAGACAAGCTGCTGCAGGGAGGGGCCGTGGTATGGAGGATATGGAACGGAAGCACTGCCCTGGCCATCCGTGCCCTAACCCCTCTGCCCATCACTCCACCCCCTGCCAGCATCTTGCTGCCCTCAGTGTGTCCCCAGGCGGCAGCGTTTACCTGTCTGTACCACAGGACGGGGTCCACCTCTGCCTGCCTGCCGCACTCCACGCCCGCTTTCGACTCTGCCGTCTCCTTCCCCAGGTGGCTGGCCTCGGCCAGCTTCACCTTGAGTCCCTCGGCCACCTGGCTGGGGACCTTGGAGGAGTCCTCCAGCTTGGGGATGATCACTGACTTGGCCATGTCAGCAGCCCCCGGCTCCTTGGCCTTGCTCAGCCCCGATTTCACCAGGTCCGTAAGGCTAGGGGCTTTTGTGAGCGTGGGAGGGACGGACGGCTTCTGCTTCCAGTCCTCCTTGAGGGCTGCCTCCCTCTCCTTCAGGCCCAGCTCTGCTTTCTTCTCCAGCCCGCGGGGCTGCTGCTGCTCCAGGCTCTGCCTTTGCTTCTGCTGCTCCTCGTACTGTTGCCGGTAGGCCGGGCTGGTGCTCAGCAGGTGGGCATGGTAGCCTTGCTCGCTGTAGCCGTAGGGGGGCACGTAGGCGTACTGGTTGTAGTAGAGGGACTGCATGTACATGTTGGGGCGCTGCTGGATGACCGAGGGCTGCTGGCTGGAGCTGCTGAGCTCCACCTTCTTCTCCTCGCAGCCTTCGCTCTTCACCTTCACCTCCGGGCTCTCTTGCTCCTCGTCCTTCTTCATCTTCAAGGGCTGGCTCTCCACGGCAGCTTGGCTGCTGGGGTTCATGGGCCCAGGGCTTGACTGGGGGTAGCCCGGGGAATAGTACGCTTCAAAGCCTTGGTAGTAGGGGGAGTCCTTGCTCTGCGCCTGGGGAGGGAAAAGCGCTTTCTTTGCGCCTTCCTTGCCCAGCTGCTCAGGGTCCTTGGCTTTCATGCTCTCCAGCTTGCCCTCCCCATCCTCCCCCGCATCCGAGATGTCCGAATAGGCCGGGCTGTTGGTTTTCACTGAGCCCGCCTCCGCCCCGTTCTGGGTAACCACGTGCAGCGGGGTCATGGGCTGAGCTGGGGCGGTGGCAGCAGCATTCTCCAGCCTGCTGGCGCCCCCAATGGACGGGCTCGGCGCGTTGTCCGTGAAACTGTAGATCTTATCTGCCTCAGCCTTGATGCTGGCGAGCCGGCTCTGGTGCGGGTCAGACGAACCATTCAGGAGGCCCTCCCCTTTGGTCCCGAGCTCCCCAGATTCCCCTCGGAAGGGACTTTTGCCCTCCTCCACTCGGCAGACTTTTCCAGGAGTCAGGGGGTTTTCGACCTCTTTGGATTCCTTCTTCTTCTTGTCCTTCTTCTTCTTGTCCTTGGAAGGAGTCAGGGCGGGGTTGACCGTGAAGGGCTCCCCCATGACCGTGGGCTTTGGCTGGATGGGCTTGAGCTGGGGGCTGCTGGGCATGGCCTGGACTACGGTGGCAGTCAAGGCGGCAGAAGAGCCGGGGCTGGCTGCGGTGAAGGTGGCCGTCTGGAAGGTGTAGATCTGCTGTGGGGGAATAGCAGGAGCAATGGGTCTGGCGGACTTTAAGCTTTTGGAAGGGAGCTTGTCTGGCTTAGCACCAGCTGGCTTCTTGCACTTCTCCTTGTCAAGGCATCTCTTCTCTAGCGACTCAAAGCCATCGTTGCTTGTCTCGTCCGCCATCGAGGGGCCATCTTCGGAGCCGTCGTTGGACAGGGCTCCGGGGTCCATGTCACCTTCTCCGCCCAGCTTCTTCTTGCAGGGGGCCTTGGTGCTGAACTTGCTGGACGGGGAGGGGCTGTGAGGCTCCAGCAGCCGCACCTTGGGCGTGGCCGATCGGGCCGGCGAGAGGGAGCCCTTTTGGGAGCCGTTGCAGCTGCCGACGTCGGTGTGAAGGGGCGGCTCCTCGCCGCACTCGCTGTCCCCGTCCGCCTCCGGCTTGCTGTCGTCGTCCGTGTGTGCGTGGGCCTGGTGGTACTTCAGCCCGTTAATGTGCTTGTACTTCTTGTTACAATTGGGGTGAGGGCAGTCGATGAGGATGGGGGAGGGGCAGTTCCTGTCCAGGCCCACAGGTTCTACCTTGACCCCGGCTGGGGGCGCGGCAGCCGAGCCCATCGAGTTGGTGCGGATGCGCTTGCTGCCCTTGGAGTCCTCCGAGCTCGAGTTGAGCTCCATGTCAGAAAGGGGCTTGCTTTTCCGCTTAGTCACTGACGAGGGGCTGGCTTTCACATCCTCGGCAGTGCCACCGGGTGGGGGGCGGTGATCCGAGGAGGTCTGGCTCCCTCGGCGCCCTTTGCTGCTGGCCCCCGCCCGTGTCTTGCTACTGTTGCTGGTCCCTTTGCTGTCCGAGGCAGCGGCCGTCTCGTTCACCGGCGTGTTGCTGTTAGGGCGCATGCGCTTGCCTCTGCCCCGGCCGTTCCGCATCTCCAGGTCACTGGTGGGAGAGTCGCAGAACCTGGGAGGAATCAACACACGGTCAGGACCAGCCGGAGCTCGGCATGCAGGACAGCACACAAGAACACACCAGTGCCATGACCAGAGCGGGGGGCATCCTGTGTCAGGAGCTTGGTCTCTGCTCAGCGCAGTCACCCTGGAGGCTCCCCCTGGACCCCACAATTCCCCGTGCTCCCTGCAAAGGAGGCTTACAGTACATGGGCGGGGGGAGCTGAGATGGGGGCAACAACCACACACAGGTCAACGGGCTGCCGGCTCCCACCCTTGGGGTCTGCAGTGCAACCAGCACCAGCAAGGACAGCTTGGGAGCCAGCCCAGGGGGAGTGGAGATACCTGGCCCATGTGACACCAGACAATCACTTGGCTCAGAAAGGGAGCAATGGAACAGGAAGGAAACTAGGTAGGGGAATGGAAGGGCTCCCCCATTTACTGACCCCCATCGAGGACAGTCAGACACAGCTGACTCTGAGGCCCACCCCCAAGCCCAAGGCAACATGGGCACTGGTGAGTGACAGGAGATGCTCTAAGAATGATGCCTGGCTTAGCACTGCCCGTCCCAGCCAGGCCAGGAGGGGAGGGACACACTCCTGGCCTGGTATAGCTGAGCCAGTGACCCCTCTTCTGACAGACGGTCCCCGGCCCTCACACACAGGGCTGTCTCTCCCCAGCTCCTCCACTCAGGCCATCAAGGCTGAAAGTCCAGGGCAGGGAGGCCAGGCAGTGAGTGAGGGCCCGGGCACTTGGGGAAACCCTTGGTTCCCAGCCTCCCTGCTGAGAAACATTGGGCATGTATGTCACTTACCTACCACCCTGTCTCCCCCTGAAACCCAGTGGGACTACAGGGGGAAAAGCAACCCCCAGAGCGGGCCTCTGAGCTTTCCCCAAAATGGCTAGCAGAGCTGTGTTGCTGCTACTCACAGAGCACTTCCAAGGGGGGGTCAGACCACCCCACGTGCGTGATGGAGGGGCCTCCCCAGTGCCCAGCTCTGCCTGCCGGGGGACAGGGCCCCTCAGGAACAGGTTGAATGGCTTGAGCCAACCCTAGCTTCAGTGGTCCAGAGACAGAAGAGGAAGCCTCTGTTCTTGTCCCCGAAATGGTGGCAGAGGTGGGGCCAGCTGAAAGGAGAAGTCCTGGCCCACGCTCACTGTCTGTCTGCCTGAAGGCCCTGCAGACAGGCTGGGATGGAGACCCATGCACACTGCAGCTCCAGAGCCCTTCTGGGGAGCCCAGAGAGATGCGAGGACACTCTACAGTTGAGAGGCCCTGGACCAGCCTCTGAGCCTCCCGAACGCTTACCTGGGGGGCGCCCAGTCATGCTGCGTGCAATCCAGCAGCGTACCCACATATGTCTTGTTCCTCCAGGTCACGTTAACCACCAACATACCTGTAAGGCAAGGAGACAGGGTCACCCTCAGCACCACTGGGAACCGGGGTTACACGCTGCGGGGTCCGGGGCAAACAGCTCCACAACCACCACGGGCCTGGCTGCGCTTTGGGTGGGAGCTGGGATCAACACAGAGCCAGGGCCCAGCTCTGCCCTGCCCACAGCCATGACCAGTGAGTGCCCTGCTGCTCCAAGGCTGCTTGGCAGCAGTGCAGTGGGCAAGGCGCCCAACGGGGCACTCGCCTTGGTGCTTGGGCCCACCCCAGGCTTTTCAACAGCAGAGAGCAGGGAGGGGAGCAGGTGGCCTGCTGGAGAGGGGCCTCAGCTGCACCACCAGTGAAGTTAGCTCAAGGGCCCACCCACTTCCCGCCCTGCCCTGGAGCTGTGATGGCAAAGCCTAGGGGCCGCAGGTGGCTGAGAGCAGAGCTGACAACTCAGGGAGGAGGCGACCCCACCAAAGGGGTGAGACCCCATAGGGAGGTGGGGCACGAGATATACACAAAATGAGCAGGGTCTCATCCTGGGGAGGGAGCAGAGCCCAGAGAAGCAATTGGCTCAGCATGAGTGTGGGGGTGACACAGGAGTGCAGTGCAGCTCCTGAGCCTACTGGCCCCCCCTCAAGGCCCCACAACTAGGAACACACTGACTCCTCCTCCCCACACCCGACAAACCACACCAGAGCCGTCAGCAGGTTGGTGCCACCATTGTGCAGCCCAAGGGGTACAGCGCTAGACAGGCACACACCATCTTAGCACAACTCCCACTATATACAGGGTGCTTCTGAAAGTCCCAGCTCCCGGAGACATGGGAATACACAAGAATCTCAGCAGACTAGCCCTGTGGCAGGGGAGCAAAGATAGGAAGTGACCCCCTAATAGCTTAGACACCAGAAGGCAAAGAGGAAGACCCAACGTTTGTTATTTTTAAACGTCTCCTGGTTGTTGCTCTCTCGGGGCTGGCGCCACCGTGTGAATGGTTGAGAGAGTGAAAGGAAGAGGGATATTGTGAACAGCTGGTGAACGCAGTCTTCTGGCCACTAGGTATCATGCTCTGCCACCAAATTCAGCGGAGGGTCAGCTTCCCATCCTTAGCTGCAGTTCATTGTGTGCCATGGGCTGCCCCTAAACCAGGCCAGGTCAGCAGTGCTGGCTGGACCGAGCCCATCACATGGGCACAGTGTGACCACACTGGCCACAGAAGGTTTTCATGAGCCCTTCTGTTCCAAAGGCAGCCAAGGCAGAGAGGTCCCCACTGGGTGACAGTCCTGCACCTCTGGGCTGCCTGGCCCCAGCTCCAGAGGGACTCTCCAGCTATAAAATGGAGATACCTACTTCAGAGGGTGACGGGGAGGCTTAAGCACTGGAAAGTGCTCAGCCCCCCTTGGCTAAAAGGGGCTGTACAAGGTAGGGTGACCAGATAGCAAGTGTGAAAAATCAGGATGGGCGGAGGGGAGGGGGTAATTGGCGCCTATATGAGACAAAGCCCCAAATATTGGGACTTTCCGTATAAAATCGGGACATCTGGTCACCCTAATAGAAGGCAGTGCAGAGCCAGCAGGAGAAGGAAATACTGTGGGATGCAAAAGCTGCCCAGCCTTTGCTGCAGATTGCCAGCACTCCGCTCAGTCACCTTCCAATCTCTCCCCGCATGCTGCATTAGGGCAGCTAGCTTCACTCCCAGCCTGGAGTCCACTCCAGCTATCCCACCTTCTCAGGTCTCTTGTGGCCAGCAGGCTGCAAGTCCCTCTATAAGAAAGCAATTACACTACATAATCTGGGGCCATTAGCAGAGAGAACTCAAGTGGATATTTCCTCCCAGCAATGGCCTGCTCCGATTACTGCATAACTAATTTGAACAGGAGCAGAGTCCATTGAACGGAGCGCATTTATCTGCACAAGGTAGAACTTGGGAGATAGAAATCTCATTTACAAGGGCACATGAATGCAGCTAGATATATAGCCACACAGTATCAGAAGATGAATGGAGCTTGGCGAGTCCTGAACAGCTGTGCCTGGAGCACATTTATAAATCTTGGTCCGTATTTCCCTTGCTGTAATGTGCCGGTAGACAGCTGAGAAATACTATGTGAATCAAGGGACATTCACATAGCTGAGACCCAAAATACAGGCTTTATTTTAGCTGGGAAAGGAAAGAGCTAAAGTCCAAGCCCAGGAACAGAAAGGACTCCAGGGTTGGAGGTGCAATAGGAAAAGCCATTTTTTAGTTTTCTTTCAAACCTTTCCCACATCACGCTGGCAACGCAAGCAGCAGCAGGTGGAGGAAAGATCTGCATAAGGGATTCAACTTCCGAGTTCAGTGACCGGTTCTGCCATCAATTCCTGCATGACACCTCTGACCATCGCCCAGCAAACGGAATAGGGACCTCCCCACCTTCCAGGAGAACTGCCAGGGTGTGCTGGTTAGCCATTGAGGCACTCTGATACTAGAAGGACGTGAGCCGGGGAAAAGCCTATAAACTAGACAACGAACAGCACAGCGCTAACACAGGGGTTCTCCACATGAGGCCTAAAACCACTCTACCTTGCCCATCCTGCTCAATGGAAGAGGGATCCATACTCGATGGAAAAGGAGAGGTATTAGGGGGTCCCTCAATGTTCAAAGCCACCCTGGTGAGGTCTGAGAGTCACGCAGTGAAACTGATTAGAAAGAGGGAGTGAAACTGCCCAGCTGAGTTTCCCAGCCCCGCGGCCAAACGCAAGAGTAAAGTGTGTAAGTGGGGAACCGCACATGGGAAGCCCATGTTCATTATCAAAGTCTTGGGCTAGTGGCCCAAGGATGGAGATTAGAACCACCATTTTCAGCCGCCCACTGGCCCCTAACCTGTTCATTGTTACAGGGTTATGCCAAGAAACACTTCAGTGTCCCTGCCTTATATGCATGATTTCAACCCCTGGCCCCTCTGTGGGCAGAGAGCCTCAGCATGGCTGCCTGGATCTGTGACCCCTAAGCACAGGAGGAAGGACAGAGCCCGGGCACAGAGCTTGGGGCCTAAATCCCATAGGCATCCCGTTTACCACAATCAGCATGTGGAGACTCATAGGGAGTCCTGCTTTCAGCCCCCTCGGGGCCCACGTGACAAGCTCCCGATGCCATGTTAACGAGCCCTTCGTGACACTGGAAGTGTCTTTAGAGAAGTGGAGGCAGCTGGAGGTAGGGCTGCGGGGGAATGACCTCTAGCACTGTCACAGTTACAGGGATCTCCTTTTGCTGGTCTGGAATTCAAGGGTGTGCTCACTACAGCCTTCCAGCTCTCCTCTCATCAGCCAGGGAACTGAACGCCCCTCTGAGCCAGGATCAGCTACTCTCCGCCTCCCACCCCAACAGGTCCCTAAGGAGGAGCAGGCATTCAGCACACGCCAGCTCAAGAGCTCTTTGAAGAAAACATGCCCCTTACGGCCTAAGCACTAGCTTCCTGCTCCGCTCTCCTGTGGAACGTCAGAAGTTAATTGTGTGACAAGACGCCAGGGGCTCCTCACATCCCTGCGCTGGCTGGTGTGTGGATTAGGAAGGACATTCTGGCAGCTTTCCCGCTGCCATGATCACAGGGGAGAGATGAGAGCTGAAGCAAGCCAGAGCCCTCAGCAGCGGCTGCAACCGCCCCTTTTCCCTCCACAAAGGCACCCTCTCAGAGGGCTACCATTAACCCTTCTCACACACACTGCCCTACATTCAATCCACTGCACCCAGCTGCACAAAACTTACCCTACTCCTCCAGTGGCAACCAGTTGGGACAATGTAAACCCCAGGGATGACTCGTTAGCAGCATCCAACCCATAGGCCCCATGGCACGAGAGCTCAGCGTGCATGCTGAACCACTGCCATCAATCCTGCCCTGCCTTCCACACTAACTCACAGCACAGCGCCATGGCAAAGCGTCACTGAGGTTACTTCGTTAGGTTCCCTCGAGCCAGCAGATAACGAGGGCAGTGTCCCTGGGGCCCCATGGGGCAGTCTGATTGCAGTTGGCAGTTTGGGACTCACGTGCCCCCAGCCATCACAGCTCTCAATTGCCCTCTCCTGGGCGTTAACGTCTCCAGCGTAATCCTCCAAGAAGACGGGCTGCTCAGGCAAAGCAAGGCTCAGCAAAGGCAGGATGCAACCCCACATGCCACCATCCACCATGGGATGAGGGCAAGAGCAGCCGGGGAGCCATTCCCCGGCAGCCCACCCCAGGGGGATGCTGGGGCTCACAGGAGCTCTGAGGTGTTTGTTGGTGTTTCTAAGGGAGACAGGAGTGGGAACATGCCAGTGGGGTGTGGGAATTCCAGACCACCTCCTGTCCCCTCCAGAGTGCCTGGAGTGGGCCCAGTTGGGAGGGAGGGGAAAATCAGCCCAATAAGAGCAGCTCAGGGGGAAGCCAATGCAGGGGCCCAGGCCACGAGTGCCAGAACAGTGCTCCCTGCACACTGATGCAGAGGAACGGTGCTTGAGGGGGGGTTACAGAACTGAGACCTCCCCCCACTGGCTCCTGGACATGGAGGGTAGGTTCAGGGCAATGCCCCGGGAAAGCAGCAGAACGAGGCCAGCCCAGCACTGCAGTCCCTACTCGGGGAGTAAGTGCTCCTTCCACTGATCAGACTCTGGGCTCAGAGGCCCCCTCCTCCTGAAAGGGGTGGGAAGGAGCAGAGGAAGGTCTGCTGGGGCCCCACAGCACAGGCCTTGTGGAGCAGAGACTGAGTGGCAGTTCCCTCCCGCAGCCTGCAGAGAGCAGCAAGTCCCCTCCCCCAGCACACATCCTGACTTGGGCAGGGGGTGTCAGGACATTGCCTTGCCCTGACAACAGGAGAAACTGGCTACAGGCCTCCAGCTTGTTCCTCTGCTCCAAGGGCGGGCGGCCAGGGCCAGCTGTGGAGCCAGCACGGCCACTCCAAAGGTAGTGCGTGCAGGGGGTGGGAACCCCCTCTAGCGCCCCCCCAGAGACCAGCACAGTTCCCTGCTCATGCACTGATGGCACAGTGGAGCCCTGTCCATGCAATGGA